ACCCTCTAAAAAACCAGGGTGGATGGTGCCCAAGAAACTATATCCTAGGTAGTTCTTAGGCATCCACAATCCTGCATTCGCATATTCACATACATACCTACACACACACACACACACACACACACACACACACACACACACACAGAGAGAGAGAGAGAGAGAGAGAGAGAGAGGGAGACAGACAGACAGACAGACAGACAGACAGAGACACAGAGACATAGAGAAAGACAGGCAGAGAGACAGACAGACACAGAGAGATCTGGTTCTTATGGCTAACACACCTGTTCTGTGTACTCTTCCCAGAGTGTGGCATTCACCTACTTTCTAAAGCCAGGAGTGAGATGCAACCTCATCATGAACCAATTCAGCAAGGCGGCTACTAGCCATGGAACTCCTTGTCTAGTTTTTTTTTTTTTTTTTTTTTTTTTCCCCCCAGACAGGGTTTCTCTGTGTAGCTCTGGAACTCACTCTGTAGTCAAGGCTGGCCTCGAATTCACAGAGATCCGCCTGCTTCTGCCTCCTGAGTGCTGGGATTAAAAGCATGTGCCACCACCGCCTGGCATGTGCCTAGCTTTTAACAGGCTGAGTTCTGCAAACCAGCTCAAAGAAGGGCCAGCACAGCTGTGCCACAAGGTGAGCTTCTGAGGAAGCCTCCCTCTCCATCCCCACTACAAACTCATTGAGACATGTAATTTCTGCAGGGCAAACACCCAGACACATCATCTTTGTTTGTTTGTTTTGGGGAGAGGTCACTACGTAGCCCCAGATGGCCCAGAACTCATAGAGATCCATCCACGTTTGCCTTCCAAGTGCTGGAATTAAAGGTGTGTATCATCACCCCTAGCTCAGGCCCATCATCTCCGGTCGAGTGATAGAGTTTGCTTTAGAAGGCTGTCGGGCTGGAGTCCCCCTGTATCTTCTACCCTACCCTGTAGCCCAAGTGAAAATCCAAATTCTCAGCTTCTGTCAGCCCATCAACTCCAGCTGTTAAAATTAAATCTAAAATATTGTTGCTGAGATGTGTAAGATAGAGCTGGCTTTTAGTGAGATTTCTTGAATGCCCATCGCTTTCTAGGGAGTCCGTTATGCCGGTATGTCTCATTTCAATTACTCATTTAAAGCTCACCGAGCCAAACATCTATCACTACAGCTCTGGGAATTAGCATGCAGTTCCTATAACTTTGAAAAGCCATTGATCCCTGGATGCTCAGAGCCGCAGCATGTCAGGTCTTTATAGCCGGGTTAACTCATTTTGTGGCTTTCTCAATGGCTGCAAGTTTACATTTTATTGCATATCTATTATTCGGGTTGGGCTGTGATGAATGGTTTGGCTGCCTGGTTCGAAACAAGTCCAAGGCAACCGCGGAATCTAATTTGCTTCAAAAAATGATGATTATAAGGCTTTTCAAATAATAATCTAGGAATGGTAGGAGCCGACATCAGGGTGCCCTGCCTGAGAGCTATGTCTGAAGCTGAAGGGACAGTGTGCCCCTTTCCTACAGGGGCTCTTGTTTATATCGACCTTCACTCTTGTTACTATCGACATTTAAGAAACCATCTGTCTATCTTCAGGGGCAGTAGAGATGCTTGCATTTCCTCAGGAGCAAAACCAAGAGCTTGCTGTTTGGCTCCAGATCCATCCCCAGGATCGAGGGTGTGCCATCGCTGGCCACATGAGTGGTGGTACATAGCTGTATTAATTACTTTACTGACTCCTATGACCAGCTGCCTGACAACAGCAACTTCAGGTTGGTTTTGGCTCACAGTTTGAGAGGATACAGGCCATCGTGGTGGGGAAGTCATGCAGTAGGAATGTGAGGCAGCTGGTTATATTGTACCCACAGTCGGGAAGCAGAGAGAGATCAGTTCCGGTGCCTAGCTTGCCTTCCCATTTTCAAGCCATCTAGGACCCCAGCCCACGGATTGGTTCTGACTACATCTAGTGGTGGGTCTTCCCATCTCAACTAACCCAATCTAGACACTCCCTCCCTACATGCCACAGGTGTGTCTTCAAGGTGATATAGAGTTCTCTGCAGAGGAGTTGGAGTTTAGGCAGCACGCATGAGATCTGTTCCCGGAAAACATGCCACTTCCTGACTTGGAGAACAAGTCTGGCTGTCGTCCCTCCTGACTCTGCTTCCCTAGTCCATCTGAGTTCTGTGGGACTAGTGTTATTAAGGGAAGTGGATGGAGAGACTACTGATGAACTGGAGTCAACAGGGAGGGTCTCTATTCAGGTCAACACTTAGCATGTCTTTCTGAATAATAATAATAATAATAATAATAATAATAATAATAATAAATAGCTACTCTTCCCCCTTTTGTGTAGCCTTTATGTGATTGTAGATATTGGAGGTGGTAAGATTTCCACTACTGTGAATTTAGAGCTTCTGACTGCTCAGCTATGTACTTACAAAGTTCCTGACCATTTAATAGTCAACTCCCTAAACATTTTAAAATTTCAAGATTTGTTTTTGCAAATAACCTCTTGATGCTCCAAATGGGTATTTCTAGCAACAGGACAAGCTTACAAGTCACTCACACTTTATCATGAACTAGTATCAGCAGATACAGGTTTTACTAGTTGGCAAGGATGAGGATGCTAGAGACCAAACATAATCATAGTACGTCAAACAAAGCCTTGCAGTAGCAGTTGGCTGGTAACCCTGGACACCAAAGATGCTGTGAACTGGAAAGCCTTCTCTTTCCCCACAGAACCACACAGGAACACAGGCAATTTCTGCAGAGGAACATCACTTGCTTCTCTCCTTTATGTCTTTCAAGTATATCTTCTACTTGCCACAAAACTCCTTTAGCCAACAAGACAGAAGAACTGCCTCTTGGGAGTAACCAGAGCTCAAAGTGGTGTCACTACACTGCAGGGACACCTTCTGCGAAGATGAAATCCCTGATGAGTGCTAGGAGGAGAGATTCTAAATTCTGTGGCTTAGGATGTTCAGTGTCTTCAGAAGCTTGTACTGCCTCCCCAAGGCCACCACCTACCATCGGTTGCCTGGAGCTTGAACGCCCACAAGCACGTCACTGGGTTCACACACTACCTGCTCTAAGCAGACCAGAGTACCCTTGAATATAAATGGGATTCCCCTCTTTAGGGCAAAGCATGTTCTTCTGGTCTCTAGCATGGGCCCAGCACGCTAGCTGCCCTCCTCCAGTGCGGGCCCTGGTAGACCTCTCTGAGGTTGCCTCTCATGTCAGCAAACCCCACCCAGAGTTAGCTGGATGGAATCTCTAAGCAGGTCATCTCCAGGTGTGGCACACACCAGGGAACCCAAGCAGGAGCCACTTAGGGCATGGTAATGAAAAAGAAAAGGAAAATAGCAAGAGTGAACATTATGATTAGCAAACCGACTTAGGAAACAGGAAGGTACACAAGGGTAGGAAGCTGTCTCCCATCTGAGACCACAGAGCTATGTGGGAGCCCACAACTGACTCAGTTTCCCAGTTTGAATCTGAAGTCTATTCTGAGTCAATAGAGTTCAAGCTTGTTTGCTCCAAGGCTGTGAGAACGTTCTGATTGGCTCACAGAGTCTCCTTGAAGGGCTGTGAGAAAGTCTTCTTCATTGTCTCTTCAATGCGCACACCTCTACCCAGCTACCCAGCTGACTGTTGGTTGGCCCGACAGAGCTAACACTGATCTACTGATGTCTGCTCTTGCAAACCTGCCCACCGCTTCCATTTCCTGAAGGAGGTGTGCATCTGCTCTTCTCCCTTGAGAAGTGACCACTGCCAATATCCACTTAGACAGCAAGTCCTGTTTGCTAAAGATAAAACTGTCTTAACTAGAAACCTGTACATTTTAGCTTCTGTAAAACTTGCTTAGTTCTGGTAAGTCTGCTTTGAGGTGGGGACAAAAAGACCACCCTAAGATAGTTACAAGATTATGACAATGCCTAACCTTACGAAATGTTTCTGATCAAGCCTGGGCCTCTTTGGGCAATAGCTAGAGGCTATAACAGCATGTTAACTAAGGAGTTTTTTCCTGAGAATTGCTCTTTGAGGGAGGTTGAGACCCCCCACTTCTACTCCAACAGGAGTACTCACTGTCAGTGGCTTTTCTAGATAACCCGATACCTCTCTTGGGCATAGAGACTTTCTCCATTGCTCTTGGGCAGTTACTGGACCCAGCTTCTGCCTAGCCATGCCTCCAGCCCTTCCCTCAGAGTCTCCCTCCAAGCAGGGCTCTCCCAGTGGAGTCCAGTTGCCTCCATGTTCAGTGCTGTAGAACAGTTTTCCCTGAATTGAAACATTCTCTCCTGGAGTAATGAGGGAGGCTTATGACTCAGGAAGTAAACACAACAAGGCCAGGAAGCTCCTGAAATGCACAAGATTCACAGGATTCCCCCTCTCCTTCAAGTTATCTAAGTAATGGAAATTGCATGGCAGAAGAGACTCCCATCAGTCGAGTTGCCTTCAAGTCCTGCTGAAGGTCGTTAACCCATGAGCTATTGCCCACACTATAGTGGGCTTTCCAGCGATACTGCCCCCTTTGCGTCACCCAGGCTCCTCTAAAGTAACTCCAATAACTCCTCTGGTTCACTAAGCTGGACTTGGGCGGAGTCATTTCTGTGGTCTGTCACCGATGTCATATCTGAGGTAAATAAACATGTCTTCATATCTCTCCAGGAAAAAAAAAATCACATGATATGCAGTCAAGAGAATTGTTGTTACAGCTCTGCTGTATTTACAGCCCAAATCCCTCCATCAATGCGCAACATAGTTATTCAGAAGGCAGAGGGTTGGCGAGCCCTCTCCCTCCCACCCATCTGGTTTTGCCCCTTTCTTACAGCTCAGGCTTGTACAGAACAATCTCGACTTCTTTCACATCAAAGCCAAATCCACCTGGAAGACTGCTGAAGCCAGGCTCACATGCCCTATGTACCTGGGGTCCAGGCTTCTGAGGCCGCATCACTACCAAGGCATGGCAATGTCTGAGGAAATCAGTGCCCACTCCCCTAGCACCGTGGAGAGGTCTCACTTACGGAAGGCCGTGTAGAACTCCCCGAGGGTCAAGGCGCCGTCGCTGTTGTAGTCATCGAATTGCAGGAGATCACCTGGTGAGCATCCCTTCAGGGAACCGTCCAGGTCCTGTTCCTTTAGCACATACTGTGAGGTGAGAAGAGACAAAGCCTGAGTCACCAGCGAGCTCAGCATCACGGATGCTGCTGCTGGAAAATGCACTGGGTCTAGTGGAGACTCAGGGAAGCGTAAAGAAAGGCCTTAGGGTGTGGGAATGGTAGAACCGTGAATAAATGTGTGCTGTTGACATGACCATGGTCCCATCGAGGACCCCGATGCCCCAGACCCATGGGAATGGCAAGGCCTTTTCTAAGTTGGGCTTCCCCTGTGTCCATGTGCAGATGTTGACCATGTGTGCACACCACAGCCTCCTCCTCCTGGATGGCTGCAGCTTGAACTTCTTCCCTCCAGAAACCCCCCATCTGGATGAGTGAAACCCACTTCCTGGTTCAGCTGTATATAATGGACTTGCCTTCTCAATTCAGATGTATGAAATACACTAGTTTTCTTGGCTGTGGCTGGTGCGTCTCCATGGGAGCGAATGACCCACCCCAGTTTCATGTGTGTCTGTATGTCTGTCCTTTCTTCATTCCCTCATTTCCCTGCTCAGGGCAATCCCAAAGCCATGCAGGCTGCGGCACTGGGGAGTATCCAGAGATCTCTGGTCTTGTCTGACTTGAATCCTTCATTTTATAGATAAGGAAAATGAGGTTCGGAAAAGGAAGTGCCAGGGCCTCGGGGCCGTGGTCTCCATGACTTGCAGGCAGAGCCAGGGGATCTAAGTGAGGAAGAACCTTTGGGGTCACTTGTCTGTCACTTGTGCTGTTAATGGGGGAACAGACTAGAGAAAGGCTTGATACAGGAAGCCAGCTAACAGCTGACCTCAGGGTGGGATCCCAGGCTACTGTGTGTGAGGGTTAATTTTCATTGTCAGTCTGACTGGAGTTGGAATGATCTGGAAGATACCAGAGAGGTTTATGTGAGGAGGGAAGACCCGCCCTATACCTGGGCTGGGGACCCAGACTGAATTAAGGGGGTGGGGATTGTAAAACCTGACGAACACTGGCACTTATCTTCCTGATGGATGACACAGGGTGGCCAGCAGCCACCTCATACGCTTGTCACCATATTTTCTCACCACAATAGACTGCATCCCCTCAAACTGTAAGCCAGAAGGAAGCACCTCTCTGCAAGTAGCTTCTTGGTAGGTATTATATTACAGTGACGAGAAAAGAAATGCCATATTTTATCACTGTACCCCTCAATCACGCACCAGCCCTCACCACTGTTAAGAGAGTTTGCTTGCCACAGCGCATGCCCAGAAAGCAGCTGCTGACCAGATCTGCCTCAGTAGCATTTTTGTTGCTGTGACAAAAACATCCCGGCAAAGGCAACCGGGGACAGAGTGCCACCGAGTCCTGGAGTCCTGGAAGCCGTGCCAGTGGCAGGGAAGGCTGGCAAGCAGGACGCTGGCTGTCAGATTACATCTCTGCTCAGGAAACACAGGGTACCTGCGAGGTGGGAACCAGGCTTTTAAACCTCAAGTCTCCCCCCCCCCCCCACCGGCCCCTGATGCATTCCTCCAGCAAGGCTCTGTCTCCTAAAGGTCCCATGACCTCCCCAAACACCACCACCAGCTGGGGACTGTGTTCAGACACGCTGAGCCTGTGGGGGCATTTATGTTCCAACCACAGGAAGACCTGAGCCTACCCTGCCTTCCATGTTCTTCCAGGGCCACAAATATCACCCTCGAGTCAGGATTCTGATTTAGGAGCTATTGGTGGACTCTTGTGGAGTCCTCTGTGGTTATGGTTTAACCCACAAGACGCAGAACCCTGCCCCCATCACAACCAGCCACACACTGAAGGTCGTATGGGTAGAAAGTCCACACACCCTCCTCGCTTGGCTGAGTGCTGAGAGCCACAGGCTGGGCAAGGGAGGTGCTGCAAAGGAAATCGAGTGAGAGGAAATGGTTTTATTTTATTTTGGGGGGTGGAGGCAGAGGCATCTTTCTCTTTGTTTAACATTCCAGGCTTGGTCTGCTATATTAAAGGCAATTTAATGTGATAATGTTAAAAAAAAAAATGACCCTTCACCCAGCAAGTGAGCGTGTTCGATAAAAAGGAGATCAACCGTGACGCCTCAGATCAATCTTCCAAAGATGGAAATTTCCCTTTGTCTATTTCTACATCGGAAATTGATTAACTTTTCATAGGACCGACGAGTTCTTCCCTCCGGCGCCTTTGACTCAGTGTCAAGGCAAGGCCCATATTAGCTGGGCTCTGCTTGGCGGATTTATGAGATGGACTTTAAACATATTAAAATTTAAAGAGGAAATCATAGTCCAATTACCATGCTTGTTAATGGCATCAGGTGCCTCTGGCCACGTCTCTGCCAGGTTAGAGCAATGAACCCAAGAAGGTCTGTTGGGAGTCACGTGGGTGCCAGGTGCTCACAGCTGCGTCTGCCCAGGGCAATCTGATGTCACTTGCCCCGTGCATCCTGCTCAGCCTGCAGTATGAGGAATGACAGGTGGGGTGTGTTCCTGCAGATAGTCATAATCAACCAGACTTCTGGGCTTTCCCAGAGTCATTCTCGTCATAGGAGGGCTCCCCGTTCTGCTCCTTGGGGTTCAGCCAGAGCTGAGGGCTGAATATCACTGACAGAGTAGCCATATACGGGCACGATGACACCATGGCATCTGTGGGTAGCAGGCTTCCTAGGACGCCTGGGTTTGTGTGGTGAGTGGCACAGAGTCACTGGTGACTTGATTCCCTAGAGCCTCAGGTTCCTCCTCTACAAACGTCTGTGCAGTGGGACAGTAGGGGTCCCGACCCTGCACCAGAGGATGCTGAAGGATGAAGGGGGCACAATGAGGTCAATGATGATGATGACGCTGCTGCCCACTGGGAACATCCCATGTGCCAAGTACAATGCTTAAACATGTCACGTGTCTTCCTGTCTCAGCACCATTAACTCTCGTGATGACCCTGCGAGGTTCACGGCTGAGGAATGGTGGCCTGGGAGTGAGGTACCTCCTGAGACTCACTAGCTCGTGAGTGCTGGCAGCAGACCTTGACTGCAGGCTGCGTGGATGTGAAGCTTGCATTCTTAGCGGCTGTCACTCCATAAAAGCAAAACGGTGGTTTTTAGCCACCACGGGCAAAGGGCCTGCTCAAAGATCTGGCCATCAGCTTGGTTCTTGTTGCTGAGCATGTGTGCATCTGCATGATTGCACGTGAGTGCTGCACAGGCATGCGCCCACAGAAACCTTTTTGGACTACTCTCAACGCCATTAGAGCATGTCCTCTCACTGAAGCCAGCGCTTGCTCTGGGCTGCTGTCTTTGTTTCTTTTATACTGGGTTTACAGGTTGACGCCACACCCGCCTGGCTTTTACAAGGCTTCTTGGGCATCCAAACTCTGGTCTGAACACTCACAGAGCAGATGCCTTACCTGCTGAGCCACTGCCCCAGCCTCCAGGCTGTCCTTTAGCCGAGGTCCGTGTGCCATGGTTAAGAGTCCCCTAAGTTGGCATCAAAGGTGAGACTGCATCCCTGTCACCTCTCCTCTGGGTGAGCACTCTGAGGTCCCCGGGGCGGAGTGGTTTCCATGGACCACTCATTTGGAAAAGCTGCACCCATTTCCTTGCTCATATCTACTTTGGCTGGACTAGAACAACACAGCCCTTCTGTCCCATGCCTGTCTTCCTGCCACCAGAACCCTCCAGACCTCTCCCTGGCAGTGGCGGTGACAGTGGCCCCAGGCAGTGAAATTGCTCTTTCTTGCTTCTTTTGTGACGTAGAACCTCCTTAAAGTTAGAGTGATACCTTCTAACCCACAGCCTTTGGAGAAGAGGCAAACCTGGCTAGGCTGTACAGACACTCTCAGGTGAGCGCCATGGAGGGGTGGACACAGGGCTCCCCACAAGAAAAACAGCTGGCGGGTTGGGCCATTGGTATTTGGATGCCAAAGTGCATCACTGCCACTGGGCAGAGGCCTTGGGGACGCCCAGGTTGGAGTGCCAGAGACACTCACCGTAACAACTGCTGCTCCCCTTTGACATTTCCGCTGCGGAAAGTGACAGGTGTCCAAGGCTGGCTTTCTGAAGAAAACACCAGTGGGCAGCCCCTCCGAGGGAGGCTTTGCCTGCGAGCTGAGGAAGCATCAAAACCGGTTTGTAAACATGGGCCGGGGTGGCAGGTGGCAGGGAGACATGGGCAGAATTTTGTGTGTAAGACATTCTCAGAGGAGCTGACAAGCTGTGAATCCTGGGAAGGATAGGAGAGGGGGTCCCCTGGCAACCCGTGACAGAGACAGTCACAAACAACTGTCTCTGCCCAGGAATGTTTCTTCACCACAGGTGCTGTGCCGCACGGGATCTCTCCTCAGGCCCTCCTGAATGCCATACCCACCTGAGCCAGCTCCAAGCTGCTGAGGTGCCCGTTGCCGTCAGTATCCAACTCCTTAAACAGTGACTCCACCAAGAGGCGCTTCTGGGAGGCGAGGTTCTGCCTCTTGGTTCCCTGCTGGAGCGGCTGTCTGCGGCTCTGGAGTGCCAGAAGGACGTTTTTGAGACGAGCATAGCCAGCCATGCTGCACATGTCACCTGGAAAGAGAAGACGGGGCTGTGACGTCACACGTACCCTGTAGTCTTGAGAGAATGTTCCACCCGTCAATCCATTCATCCTTCTCATTCATAAGCAGTTGCTGGGATATTTCCAGCGTAAACAGGAAATGTAAACAGTGCCACTGTCATGGAGGGGGCTTGCTTGTCCATCTGCCTCCCCCCCATCCAGCCTACTGATATTTAAGTGGGTGCCTATGTGAGTCAGATGGGATGGGGGAAATTCTTCTAGCGGAACTGGCAACTGTTGTCCCACAGTGCGAGGAAAGCCAGCCCCAATTTTATTCCGTCACAGTTTGCCTTTTGTCTTAATCCTATCTTAAAGGCTGCTTTTGAATCCTTGGCCTCATAGATTAGGGAGTTTTAGTTAACAGGGCTAATAATCCCTGCTTAAGGTAATTAGGTACACTCCCAGAGCTGGGTTATTTGAAAACAAACATGTGTACACAAGTCCATGACCAAGAAACAAAAGGAAGCTTTAGGAGATTAAGCCAGAGCGCACAGCCCATTACTCTTAGGCCTTTTATCAGGGGCGCGCTTGCTGAACGCATAGCGTAGCATGGGGCTTTGGCAAATGAGGCCTGTGATGCACTGCGACGTGACATAGTTTATCTTGCCGGTGACGGGGCCACCACACATGGTGTGAGCCAGTAAGCCGGGGCTGCAGGGATGTCACTGAGCCGTGTTCCTCCAGCCCTGAGTTCCACCTCCCCCTGGGGACACCAAACACTGCCTGAGCCTGGCCTTGTTGAATCTGGTGAGTGCTGGTGTGGGCTCTCCATCCTCCATTCTAAATGGAAGATCAGTGGGTGCTGGGGATAGACTGTCTGGAGTCAGGGCCTCTTCCCTGAATAATAATAATAATAATAATAATAATAATAATAATAATAATAATAATTTGGTTTTTTGAGACAAGAGTTTCTCTGAAGCAGTCCTGGCTATCCTGGAACCTACTCTGTAGACCAGGCTGGTGTCGAACTCACAGAGATCCGCCTGCCTCTGCCTCCGGAGTGCTGGGATTAAAGGTGTGTGCCACCACTGCCCAGCCCCCCCCCTCCCGAATTTTAACATCAGTTGAAAGTGCCAGGTTAACCTCTCAGGACCAGATAGTGAACAGGCTTGAGTTTGGGGACCACTAGGTTTGTGAGTCCAAGCTCTGCTGCTTCCAGGTTGAGTAACCTGGGATAAGGGGCCTCAGTGATTTCATCTGAGAAATGGGATAATAGTGCATCCTACATAGGGATATTATGAGGGTTAATTAACATCGTCACCCATATCTTTACTCTGAACCAACACTCAGTGATTGGTAGCCACTCTCCCACTTTCAGTTGTTGGAACCGTGATGGAGAGAGCACAGATCCACAGCAGCTCCTCAGTGGGAAAGGGGTGACGAGCTGTTTCTCTCTCCTGCCATCCTTCTCTCATTGGAGAAGCCCAGGTGGCTGAAACACTTTTTCTTGCACTTATTTGTGTTTCTATATTTTCTTCCAATTTGGGGTCAATTGATTCTCGTCAGAAACAAATGCCTGTTACTATTTCCTTTGTGTGTTTATTTAGAAGAAAAAAAAATCAATTGCTGTGTTCAATATAATCAAATCTATTTGCTCCCTGGGAGTCGCCATGCTCTGACAGGAGGGTCCTCTCCCATCCCCAGACCTGCTCACATCCTTCTCTTGCCTGGTAGGTGACCCATTCTCGAGAGTCCCTGGGACCCATAGACATACCCCGTTTTTAAACCTACATGGCTGTGGAGTACTGAGCATCACCTCCATGGCCTGGTCTCATGACGGAGCCAATATGGCTGGGAAGAATGTGTCTGGTGGCTGGAGTTTTCTTCTCAAAAAGCTATTTTGGGGAAAGAGCAGGATGGTCTTGCCTGAGTCTAGCCCATCACCCCTTACCAGAGGGTGAAATCTGTGCTGGAAATGGAGCAGAAATAAGGGAACCGAGCGGGAATGGAGGGGTAGCTGTTTAGCTGCTGGGTGGGTGCGGGCAGACATGTCCATGTGGAGGCTGTGCACAAACTGGAGGGACTGTCAGGTTTTCCGGGGACAGGCACCTGCACCAGATGATGGGAAGCTGGTGTCCACAGTGACTAGAGCAGTGTCAGCAGAAGGCCTCCTTCAGACATGCTAGTCAGAGGTGACCATCCTGCAAACCTGTGACAGCAGCAGGGGCCCCTGGAGGTTAGAGTAGGCAGGTCAGATGGGTCGTGAGGTCTTAGGCTTCCTGGTCCCCCAACCTTCTCAGAGCTTCTCGGAGCTGCCTGCTGCCCCGTACCAAGGGTCTATAGCTAGACACTCTCCAACATGGGCAGCTGACCACGAGGTGGTTCTGACGAGGTGGAACTAGGGGGCTGTGGTAACATCTCAGGCTTTGCTCTCCTGCTGAATCTTGCGATGCTTCAGGCTGGGGATACGACTTAATTTTCAGAGTGCTTGCTTAGTATGCAAGGAGCCTTGGGTTCAGTTCCCAGCACTGCATAAAACTGGGAGTGGTGATACATGCCTGTTACCCTGGAACTTCCTAGGTGAAGGCTGGAGGATCAGAAGTTCAAGGCCATCCTCAGCTACATGGCAAGTTTGAGGCTAGCCTGGGTTATCTGAGACCCTGTCTCAAAAAAAATTTTTTTTTTTCTGAGCACCCAGAGGCTTCTGTTGTGTGTCTAAAAGCCAAGCTGGGAGCCCCGTTGAGTGCCCCAAGTCTCCAGGATCAGTGTCCTATGTTGGCCAGCCATACTGCTCCCAGCTGTGTAGCAGTATGTATTGACATT